TTATGAATTTTGAATAGCACGGATGTGGTATGTAACATATTATATAATGCAAAAAATGTATTCATGGGCTAACATACATGTTGGCTAACATACATGTTTGTACGGTCCACGCAAATCAGGCTAGTGATCGGGGGAACGCCTTAATTAAGACCCACTCGGGTCCAGAGCATGGCCTCTTGGGGGCTCTACAAGAGCTAGGCTAATCCACTGAAAGATCTCGTGTTCTTAAATCATCATTTGCTAAATTTCAGCCTTGAAAAATGATACAATAATACATCAGGCACTCAGTGTCGTTTTTAAAAGGGGTGTTAGAAAAAAGAAATAAATTGTCCTATTTCCATGATTTCCAAAACCTTTCTTTTAAATTTGCGTGGGGCGGGGGTGTTAGGTTCCATGCATTTTTTTCACACATTACTGCATATCCCCCCCCCCCCCCATCTTCTGTTTTTGACTATGCTGCAACTATAAAAATTAAATGCCTGCAACCTGCTTAATTTAATTTATTTGGGTTCGCCTTAAAATATTTCAATATTTCAAATTATTGCAAAAAATGACATCCATATCATTAACCTATAAATGTACTTATTCCAAAAAATAAATATATAAATAATAATAATAGATAAAAGAATGCATATTTGCTTAGGCCGAAGGATCGACGGGCAATGCATCACCAAAATAAATCTGGGAAAAGCCATCTTTTTATAGGTTTCTATTTATAAATACGCAATGGAAAGTTTATGTTACTGGGAGGTAAAATATTCTGTTATCTCGGTTCGCTGTCACACTAAAAGCTCTGTAAACTTGCGTTCTGGTATACATTTATAATATATAAACTGCTTAACATTCCAATGACTTGACTGTACATTGTCTGAACTTTTTCCAGTGACACCTTTATTGTAAAAATATATATATGTGAGTGTATATATTTATTGTGGAAGTAATTTTGAAATGTGAAAACGTGTGTGAAAGAAAATTCACGCATTTTAAATAGGCACCGTGTAATTCATGGACTGGAGTCTTGGAGTGGAGTTATGGAGTGGAGTTTGGAGTGGAGTTTGGAGTCAATTTTTGGAGTCTGAGATTTTCTTTAAACATAATTATGCAGAATTTTTTTTTTCAGAATTGGCATTTGTATGATTGTCTTTGATATTCTAAAATAATCTATTGGCAAGATAAACCTCTAATTTAATAAATATTTGGTACATTTGTATATACATTGTAAGTATGTTGAACATCATTATTGAACTAATAACCACTTAAATCAAAATTAATTGATAACTTCCTACAACTATTAACCTAAATAAAACTGATCGGTAATGTGATCAAAGACCTAATAATTCTAACAAACCGTTGTAATTTAAAATATCTAAGAACAACAAAGTCAGCTAGGGGTCATGTAACTACGTGTAAAAAATAAGTCAATTAAAGTAACGTAATTTTTTCAATTTAATATACCCCTCTTAGAAACCAGGAAGGTATATAGTAATGGGATGTCTGTCCGTCCATCTGTCTGTACCTCAGTCCGTCTGTTACGCTTTGTTGTACCCTCAGAGAATCTTTATTATATAATGCCATTGTGCACTTCCTATTTTACTTTTTGATCCGGCACATAATTTAATTTTTTAATTTTTTTTTTAAATTTAATTTTTTAAAACTGTTTCTTGTTTATTATGTTTGATTGTTGTATTTTATGTAACATTATTATGTAGTCGGAAAATAGCTCTTCAGAGCTAATGTTCTTTGTTGATGTACCCGACTTTAAATAAATATTATCTTATCTTATCTTACATATTTTGGGTTTACCATAGCAAAACATGGACACTGTCATTATATTCAAATGGGAGGCAGGGGTATCATTTATGTCTTGAATAAACAAAAAAAAAAAAACAAAATGAAAAGAGGGTGCAGTGTGTTCCGCTTAAATGATTTTTGATGGTTGTAAGGCACTTGTATCCCTTATACAATACTCTCAGAATGTTTAGGGTATTATTTTATAAGAACTACATAAAAATTATAGAGGTTATTATGTATGTGTACAAATTTGCAAAAATCAAACAACCTTGTAATAGTTTACTAACCTACATATACAGCTGTATGGTCCAAATCCTGTAAAAGTTTCAATAGACATAACAGAGATGTGACAGAAAGATATAATTTAGATAAGGGGTTTTAATCACCTTCCAATTATGCACTGAATGCAATAGGTTTCATAATTGATATAACAGTTAAATTTAATTAAACAGGATATACTGTCACTGTTTTAGGTAACATACTAACTAGTAATAATTGATAATGAAAGATCTTTCAGTTACATAACCTCAAAGAATTGTTATTCTAAGTGTTACATAATTATGTTTAAAGAAAATCTCAGACTCCAAAAATTGACTCCAAACTCCACTCCATAACTCCACATACTTACAATGTATATACAAATGTACCAAATATTTATTAAATTAGAGGTTTATCTTGCAAATAGATTATTTTAGAATATTAAAGACAATCATACAAATGCCATTTCTGAAAAAAATTCTGCATAATTACGTTTAAAGAAAATCTCAGACTCCAAAAATTGACTCCAAACTCCACTCCAAACTCCACTCCATAACTCCACTCCAAAACTCTAGTCCATGAATTACACGGTGCCTTTTAAGCAATACATAAATATCATTCTAAAAATAGGAAATAGGATTCTCCCGTTTTCAAGAATAGAATCAAGAAAAGTGATACGGGTTTTTATGTTACACTTCAATGGAAGGATATGTGTTATATATATTGCCTCAAATATTTACAAGATGTTCATCTGTTGTCATCGAATTATGGCAAATTCAACACCACCCCCTCTAGTAGAAGACCTATTTAAAAAAAAAAATCAAAAATTCTCACCCTCTCAATGAGAGGCGACTTAGTTCTCGATCTCTCATTTATTTTTTGAAAAATAATTCAAAATGAATGAATAAGTCACTTAGAATTTTTATTCATTTCGACTACATATTACGTGTAAGTGTAAATGCATTAAAATTATGTGTAGGTGCTACCATGTATTTCCATAAACACAGTTAATAATCCGCTTAATGATGAAGATAAATGTATTTTTCGCAAAAAAAACTAGACCAGACCAGAGCCAGCCGCTTGAGGAGGGATTCCGAAGGAATAATTAAATATATTGAATTTTCATACTTTAATTGATATTACTGTAAGAAAAAAAAAATAAAATGTTTTATATGCCATTATAGTTTTTTTTTTCTCATTCAATAACATTATCTTAAAATTGCATTGGTTAAAAGTGTCATTTTTCTTTACATATCATTTTTTTAAACTCTGATTTATACCAAAAAATCTGTTAAAAACTCGTCATATAAACGAAATTGTTGATATAAAGCTTAACAAGATGTAAATGAAAATATTAAATAATAATCCTTTAAAATTTTTGACTAAGCTTCTCTCGTCGCAAACCACGGCCAAAATGTACGATCGTCTCCCATGTTTGAGTGAGCTATGAGTGAACTCCGAACCGTGACTTGAAACAATGATTTAGCTTGTAATAAGAAAAATCTTACACTAGTAATTGACTTCCTCATTATTAATATTTTTTCAGCAATCGATTTTTTTTTCCAAACATAGACGTCATACATTAATTATAATTAATTTGAATATACGAAGATATTTGCTTCCCTTTCATGCAGGACAAAGTCATTAATGTAGAACAAACTATTTTTAAACTTTGAATCGTGAACCTCGACAAATAGGTTTTCAAAACTCTAGCAATAATTCTTTCTTAAGAATAGATGGTAGTTGCAATTGATCAATTTTTGAAAATATATCACCGTGTATCTTTTAAACATTGCAAAACTCTAAATCGAATGAATTTACACGTTAGAGTCTTCAAAGATGAAGGACTAGATGACATAAGAATTAGAGTCTCATAAATCTGTGGATAATCTGAGAAAATCTGTAAATCTTCTTGCTGCTTCCATTCTTTTAACTCGCAGTCAAAGACCAAAGCACCCGCTTTTAAAAGTAAGTCAAATATTCGTAAATCTTGAAGTGTTGACGGATTGTGCAAAAATTTAGATAGTGGTGTCACACCATAGATGTTTGCAGCATTTACATCTGCTCCATAAAGAAGCAGCTGATGTACCGACTCGTAACAATTGGTCTTACAGGCCAAGATAAGAGGAGTATTTCCAAACACGTGAATTGCGTTAGCATTAGCTCCTTTTCTGAGAAGAGATGTGATGATTTTACTGTGTCCGTGAAGAGCAGCCACGTGAAGTGGGTGTAAAAAGGTCATATCAGGTAAATTGACATTTACAGTGGGTGAACTTAAAATAACGTCTACCAGTTTACAATTTCCAGAATCCGCCGCGTGCCAAAGTGAAGAACACTGTCGAATGTCTTTGTAAATTCACGTCAAATCCTGCTTTCACGAGGATATTTGCGATTTCTACGTCTCCCCGGACTAAACAAGGATACATACATGTGTTCTGCAGAGAGAAGGAATGGATGAGTTCCTTTTGTAGCCCCAGGCCATTTACGCATTCTATTGACATTTGCACCCCTGTCCCACAAGAAACTGGACAACTTCTTTTTGTCGAGCAGCCACTGCAACGTCAAGCAGGGCGTAGCCATTATTGTCACTATTCGCATACAACTCTTGAAAAGTAAAATCAACATCCAGACCACTTTTTAGCTCTTTTTCAATAGCATTTATATCACCTTCTTGGAGAATGCGATTGAGCTGTTTTCATTCATAGCGTCGTAATTCCCAAGGACATTTCTAACTTTAAACACTGAAGAGCTACACATCAAAGTCGGGCTCGGATAATATACTTTTTATTTGTTTAATTTTTTTGTAGGTCTAATGTATTATCATCATCATCCAAAAATGTGCCATCACATTGAAACTGACAAAAACTAGAAGCGTAAAAGAAGCCGTTTTATATTGCAAATAAATTATTGATCATATCGACTGGGCTCGGTGTGCACAATATTAATACAACGTCAACAGTCAACTTTTTCAAAAACCGTGATTATAGTGAAAAATACAAATTTCTGACTTTACAGCTAAATTCACTAAATAGATATCTTAAGCATGTTTCCAGCAAAGGTAAAATTAAAAAAAAAATGGTATGAAGCTCCTTCACTGATTCCAATTTCTATGCTGTTCAACTTTGTGTCATTATTTGTGTAAACGTAGATAGAACGTTCTATCGTTAAAAGAATTGTCCCACGGACCCGGGCTTGTATCGAGACACAGTTAGATCATTCTAACTAGTGTAACAAGTGTTAATCTCAAGAGAAATTGACAGGTTATCAATGTGTCAGACATTTATACATGTTGGTTAATTATAAATATTATAAATGAAATTTACTCATTTGTACAAGCTTATTCTCTTTTAGTCTTTAGAGAATTGGAAAGGCTTTCGCCTACATTCACATGTAGGTGAAAGCCTGTCCACTTCTCTAAACTGTACTGCAGTAAACGCCTTACGGCTAAAGAGAGATCGAAGTCCAAACTGGCAAGCCATGAGCTATGCATTAGTACCTAGCTCACAGTTTGGTAAATCTAGTGAAAATTTTCATTAATCTCTGGGTTGTAAGTGCACCAAATGTAACAGGACTAGAAAAGATGCCATAGTAATGGTTTAACTACAGAGATATCCAAACTGATATTCACATTAATCCACATAACCTAGACCAATACATAGAAATTCTTTCAGTTTTGGACATTCTTCTTGTACATTTTACATTGTAGCACCTTTTCAACTGTGATGATGCTTTATGCGGATTCAGTACGCTGGAGAGAACACAGCGACTTGGGCAGCAAACTTATCAGCGAGCTCTGAAAAATCATGCAGTGTGGACAGCGCAGAGAGAACAGGGGCCAACAGTGTGTCCGATGTCAAAGGAGAAGGGAGCATGCCAAATATGTGGGGTAATTTATTTTTTCCCAATAATTTAATAATTTTTAACTCACCTGAGCCAAAGGCTCAAGTGAGCTTTTCTGATCACAATTTGTCCATTGTCTGTCGTCGTTGTCGTCGTCGTTGTTGTAAACTTTTCATATTTTCGACTTCTTCTCAAGAACCGCTGGGGCAATTTCAACCAAACTTGCCACAAAGCATCCTTAGGTAAAGGGGATTCAAGTTTGTTCAAAATAAAGGGCCACGCCCTCATTCAAGGGGAGATAATGGGGAATTAATGAAAATTTGGTGGAATGTTTTAAAAATCTTCTTCTCAGAACCGCTGTGCCAGGAAAGATGAAACTTATGGGGAAACATCCTCAGGTAGTGTAGATTCAAATTTATTCAAATCATGACCCCCGGGGATGGGGCGGGCCACAGTGGCCGACCAAAGTTTTACATAGAAATATATAGGAAAATTCTTTAAAGATCTTCTACTCAAGAACCACTGTGCCAGGAAAGATGAAACTTATGGGGAAACATCCTCAGGTAGTGTAGATTCAAGTTTGTTCAAATCATGACCCCCGGGGGTAGGGCGGGGCCACAATGGCCGACCAAAGTTTTACATAGATTGATTGATTGATTGTATATTGTTTAACGCCCCTCGGGAATTTTTCACTCATATGGAGACGTCACCCTATGCCGGTGAAGGGCTTCAAATTTTGACCTTTACTCGGCACTCAGGGCCATTGAGCAGTGAGGGATCTTTCTCGTGCCAACGCCTGCCGCTGACACAGGGCCTCGGTTTTTAAGGTCACATCCGAAGGACCTGCAACTTTCACTTCAAAGTGCCGAGCGCATGGCGAAGGAACAGTTGCTACCCACTTTAATGACTAGGTCAGTCGCGGCCAAGATACGAACTCACGACCTCCCAATCACGGAGCGAGCACTCTACCAACTGAGCTACCGTGAACGGTTTTTACATAGAAATATAAAGGAAAATTCTTTAAAAATCTTCTTCTCAAGAACCACTGTGCCAGGAAAGATGAAACTTATGGGAAAAGTCCTCATGTAGTGTAAATTCAAGTTTGTTCAAATCATACCCCCGGGGGTAGGGCGGGGCCAAAATGGCCGACCAAAGTTTTACATAGAAATAAAAAGGAAAATTCTTTAAAAAACTTCTTCTCAAGAACAACTGTGACAGGAAAGCTGAAAAGTATATGGAAGCATCCTCAGGTAGTGTAGATTCAAGTTTGTTAAAAAATACCCCTGGGAAAGGGGGGGGACGGCCACCAAAGTTTTACATAGAAATATATAGGAAAATTCTTTAAAAATATTTTTCTCAAGAATAGCAAAGACATGAAACGATCATATTTTTATGGAAGCATCCTCAGGTAGTGCAGATTCAAGTTTGTTAAAAAAATGACCCCTGGGGGGAGGACGGGGCCACAATGGCGGACCAAAGTTTTACATAGAAATATATAGGAAAATTAAACCAATTTCTACTTTTTCCTAGCCACAGTGCTCAGGTGAGCGATGTGGCCCATGGGCCTCTTGTTTAAAGTATATGACTATTCATCATGTTTTATTTAAGTGCTTTTTATCATTGTTTTTGTACTCCAAATAGTTAACAAAGTTACACATTTAATGATATGATTTTCTTTTAACATTTTAGAAGTTTGTGGAACCCAATTTAGAGCTGGAATCAGCTTTTTCTGACGTAATGACAATGATGAGTCACATGTCTCAAATCTGTCAGGTAACTTATTAAAAGATTAATTCACCATCTTGAATGAATTTTATGCACATATAAACATAGGAATGTATAAATCTTTGAGGTATCTCTCTAGTATATAAAAATGCAGAAAAGAAATACCTCATACCTGTATAAGGTTTTCCAGAGGTTCTACATGTAGGTCAATATGTGTGTTTTTTTTTTTTACATGTTTTGAAATGGCACAGTAATGCATGTACTTGTATCAACACATAATGATTATGAAAGTGCATTTCAAAATGTCTTATACATGTACAATAAAATGATGTAAGTAGTACACAATGCAAAATTATAAAAATTGTATCAATTTTAATAGAAAAAAAATGGTTTTATTTTGATCCCATCCTTAAGCAGTTAAACAGAATAGACCAAAAAACATTTCATGAGGGTCTTTGATTATGTCATTCATAAGCCTACATCATATCAATATTGTATGTTGATAATATTTTACATTGAAAACTTTTATGCATTTCAGAGATATTACTGTGGAACCGATGGAGAACCTCAGACAAAACATGATAAAAAACACTGCCAGAGATACCACAGTACACAACTTATAAACAAGACAAACAGTCAGAGGGTAAGACCAGGGTTTAGAGATCAATACAATTATTTTTGGGGGAAAAATTTAATTATCAACTAGTGGCAAGAAAAAAAAAACATCCCCCACATAACCTGTGTATTGTTTTTTTTATAATCAGGTGAATTCATTAAGTAAAGAGGTGTACCTGTCAGAAAGTGAGCAGCCCTCATCTTGTGATAATTATAGAGGAAGAACAATATCCAGTCGACATCCTATGTTTGATATTTCTGCTTCTTTATCACAATCCAGAAAAGCCAAGCATGTCCGATTCTCTCCAGGGGACTCAGTTGAAGTCCAATTTTATACTTGATACTTGTTATATTTTTAAATAGCCTGTTACATGTAACATACTTTAAAGATTTTTAACATTTTATATATTTTTTAGACTTATCCTATACAAATTTGAAAAAAATCTCATTTAAAAAGTGCAATTATACATGAAAAGTGCTTTTAAATTCAATTATACTTTTGTTATATATATACTCTAAAACAACATTTTAATTTCATAGAAAATTTTGGTTCAATGAATCGCACAATCTGATGTTTGAGATGCAATATTTTCTCAGGAAATCATATTACATGTACAGGTAAACTTCGGTATCTCGACATCGGATATGGCGACAACCTGGGATATGTCGATGTCCGTCCGCGGTCCCGGCAATTTTTTGCTTACTTAACCTCATTGTTTGTCAGCTGGTCGCTCGTCACACACGGACGACTCCGTGTATCTCGACGTCGTCAGAAATTCACACCTTTCACACCCATGTTTTGACTACATACTGCTCTGTAGAAATGTGTTTGTAGAGGAATCCCAAGCCCCCTCGACGTCTCTAATTTCTTACCCTATTGTTTCATGTTCAGCTTGGGTAATATCATTGATAAATCTTCTTGATTCTGCGTAAATGTGAATCGTTTTTTTATGTCGAAATCAAACAAAACTTTATCATTTTGTAAAAAAAGAAACTGAATAATAATGAAGAGTGTACACATTGAATTCAATTTAACTTAAAAATTGTGGTGGAAATTAATCCATTCGACAGGAAACAATCAAATCTATGACATGCGCGACCATTGAATCAGCCTTAATATACATGTAAATGCATGTGTAACATCATCAGGTTTGTTTAATGCGCAGTTCCAATTAAATTTTGGTTTGAAAATGAAATGAAAATTTAATGATGAATGATTATAAAATAAAAATGAAATGAAATGACATAAATAAAAAAAATATACGCATTATTTTTTTTCCATATCACGGACTTCGACCTTCTACCATTTCTGTTTGGAGTTTATAGAGCGTATTTCGTATCCTGTTCTGATAGAGCTAGTTACACGCAGATCGAATGCTGGATGGAAAATTGTTTTTTAAACAGTAAAATGAGAAGATTTCGATAAAAAATAATTCAAAGCATTTCACTAATTACATGTATATTGTGAAGAACTTCTTAGATTTTCTAATAAATATACATTGCATGCATAGGGATAGCTGAAACAAACGAGCTACAGTCTAATAAAGACGTGTAGGTAGTCACATGTCTGTTCAGTTTATAGGTCTACGGTTTTACTATAGAGTAAAATTAAGGACGTCGAGTCTCAACTCTGATATCTCGACACCTCGGATATCTCGACATTTTCCGATTGTCCCGTCGATGTCGAGATAACGAAGTTTACCTGTATTTTACAAATTGCTCATTTCAATAGAATATCTGTGAATATACTCAACTACAAATTTACTTGCTCTATCTTGCCATTTTCAAAATCTGAACAATTAAAAGTCTTCCTTTGTGTGTGTGTGTGTGTGTGTGTGTGTGTGCGTGTGTGTGTGTGAATGTCACGAGTGGCCTGCATTTTACCTGTTCAATGAAAGAACAGGCTGTCTGCAGTAAGACTCCCGAGTGTTCTTAGGAAAATAAATTTTGCACTGCCAAAACATTTTAATGCAATAAGTGAACTCACTGTGTTTTTGTGTTCATACACTTTTGATGAATTTTACACGGCCTGTTTTTGTAAAAGTTTGTTACAATTGTGTTTTCCTAGTCAATAAAGTTTGATATTTTAAATTTATATGTGTCTGTTTTAGTACATGGATCTGAAATCATCTGGCACAGTACATTATCAAATGACTTATATTTATACATATTTTGGACTGCACATCTTGATAGGGAAAATTACATGTAGTTAGTCAAAGTTGTGCATGAAATTAGATGAAAACAAGAGGTCCAAGGGCCACAATGCTCAGTGAAATCCAACAATGTCCTTCCTCAGCATTCTATCCCTGCATATATATTCCTGTGTAAAATTTTGAAACCTCTTGTGGCCCCTGCCACTCTATCCTTGGGGTTATATGAACAGACTTGGATCTAAACACCTGTGAATGCCGCCAAATCATGACTTTGCTATCCTCAAGATTTTTCCCCTAGTATATTTTCTTATGTAAAACTTTTATTTCCCAGTATGACCCCCACCCTTAACCCTGAGGCTCAGGATGTAAAAAAAAAACTTCAATCTACACTATCTGGAGACTGATGTTTTCACATAAATATTACCAATCTTGGCTTTGCTATTCCCGGAAAGCAGATTTCCCCCATATATTCTATGTTAAACATTGTTCATCCATTGTGACCCTACCCTACCCCATTGGGTCATGATGTGATCAAACTTGAATCTGTACATGTGACCTGAGAATGCTTCCATATCAATATGACTGATCATGGGTATGATATTCTGGAGAAGATCAGGTTACTTTTAATACCCATGTAATACTTTAAACATCTATACTAGCCAAACCCTACACCTGTGGGTCCAGATTTGAAGACTGACCAAGATATGTTTTAAATGACTCTACCAAATCTTCACTTTTTGACCATATCTAATTTTTCCCTTTTTTTTAAGTTATCTCCCTCTGAAGACTGGAAGGACAGGCGCGGATCCAGGAATTAAAGTTAGAGGGGGCGCCAAAAAATCGGCAGGGGATCTGGGGGCCGCCTTGAGGCCCCCATTGGGTCCAGGGCAAAGCCCTGGTGGGGCCCGCCCCCGGAAGTTCCTGAATTCTAGAGATTTTGTGGGGTAAAAAAGAGGTCTACCAAGTAGACATATTTACATTTTCTAGACGAAACTGTGATTTACGTTAACTTTGACAATTTTAGGGGGGGCGCGCGCCGGGTGCGCCCCCCCTTAAATCCGCCACTGGAGGAGGATCATTTATGCCCAAACCATAACTCTGTCAAGAGAATTATGGCTTGTATAATTATTTAACTATGCCAACTATACAATCTGGACATGAAATACAACTCGGTGTAGAACAATACATTTTTCATTGCATATATAGGACTGCATATTCTTGTAAATGTTGGATGGAATAGTAATCTAAAGATGAAATATCCAGGAAGATAAAGATATGCAAAACCCCACTGACTATAAATTCCTAAAGCTGTAAATACTTGGAAATCATTTAACCACCAAGATCAATGTTCTAAGGATCGATACCAAAAATGTTACCTACGGTATTCCAAGAGGAACTTTCATGGGTACTTGCAGTAGCTCAAATATATGGAAAATTCGGTCACCTGATATGTTGAAAAAAAATAGTTCATGGGGATGTAAATTCATGGGTAGGGGTCATCTACCAAATCAAGAAACTTTGGTTCCCCCTCAAACAATGAGGCTTCCACAGCATTTTATCAGTACACCAAATGTCAAACTTCATAAAGAGATAACCTTGTGGATCATTAAGGACTTTGAATAACCTGTTTAAATTCAGTGTCACTTTTCATCACACAAAATACACTATCTCATTATAATTTCTTCTTTTATTATTCTGTGTCACAACATTAAGCAGATGGCAATAAGACATCTTGTAAAGCAAACGCTGGAATGAAACAAGTTTATACTCAATGAATATAAATAAAATTAACAGAAAAAT